GGGGGTGGGTGGGTGTGGCTGGCCAGTAAGGGGACTTTTTTTTTAATGGGCAAATGGTACAAACTTCTAAGGATAAGCATATTTTCCAGTCATAGTAACCAAAGTAAAAGATAACAGTTCTAAATTTGTGGCTTTGCATATTGGTTTATTACATTTACCTGATTAAAAACAGAACACAGATGTGTTCAGTAGACATGTGTACAGTATTTAGAGGAGGGGATAACTATTTATGAATCTGTGTTGAGAAACTTGCATTTTGTAAAGTTTCCTAATTATAAAGCTATCCAATGTCTTTATGTTAAAGCTGATGTTTTAAGGTTGATGTCTATGGCTAGAACATAGAAGGGAAGGCATAGAAAGCATAGCTCATGCCTTTGACAAAGAAGCTCCAACTTCTCATTTTCTTTGGAATACAGAGTAGCTGATAGGGATGTTGAAATATTTATAGCAACACTCTGCAAGTGTTTAAAACTCTCATACTCTGTGTACTCATATCTCATAAAAGTGGCCATGTTTAGATACTGTTTTCTTTAAATATAACGTATGATGTCTAATACTTCTTTAGACTTTTGAATTTTTGTACTTAGGAAATGGTTTTCTAGAATGATTATCATATCTAGCATACTTTTTAGGTAATAAGATGTAAAGCACGCTGCCCGTTTTTCTTTTCCTATAGGCTTTATGGGAATTAGAAACCTTACGTCTCATAAATCACTTTGAAAAATCCATGAAGGCAGAAATTGGAGATGATGATGAGTTATATATAGTAGACAACAACGGAGAGGCACAGCTATTTGACTTTTCTGGCCAAGACTTTGAAAATAAGCTTCGAGTTCCTCTTCTTGAAATACTGAAATATCCTTACTTGCTTCTACATGAGCGTGTTAGTGAGTATCTTGGGTATTCCTCAAGTTATTAGTTTTATTGTTTTATGATTGTAAGAATTTAAGTTTATCTATATTGAAAATTTGTTTGCTAAACATGTAAGTAGGCTACTTAATATTATTTTTTCTCAACATTTTTCTTTTGGGGGGGAGGGAGGCAACTGGCCAGTACAGGGATTGAACCCTTGACCTTGGTGTTACCAGCACCACACTCTGATCAACTGAGCTAACTGGCCAGCCCAACATTTTAGTATGAAAGTTTTTGAACATAGAAGAGTGAACACCAGATACCCACCACATAGATTCTACAATTGTTAGTATTTTGCTGTATTCGCTTAGTCATATATCTATTCAATTCAGTTAATTTTTATTCTTGTAATTTGTCTGTGGCAGGAATCTCAGCCCTGGCACCGTTGACATTTTGGACTGGATAATTCTTTGTTGTAGGAGCTGTGGTGTTCATTGTAGGATGTTTAGCAGCATCTCTGGCCTCTGTTCACTAGATGCCGTTAGCACACCCTCCCACAATAGTTGTCAACCAAAAATGTCTCCAGACATTGCTGAATATCTCTTGGGGGATATGGGGAGCAAAATCACCCCCTGTTGAGAAGCAGTGGTCTAGTAATTTTCACTAATCAACATGGCATGGAATGTTATGGCTGTCTAGATTTTGGTCATTTTTATTTGCATTTTTTAATATGAATTTTCCTGATCTATCAAATCTAACAATATATTAATACCTTTAAGGCATCTAATATCTAGTCCATATTCGAATTTTCGCAATAGTTGCAAAATGTGTTTATGACTTTTTTTTTTAAATAAGAATCCAGGTAGAGACCACACATTGCATTTGGTTCATGTTTCTTCCATCTCTTTTAATTCAAAACTATTTGTGTGCACACACACTCTTACACTTTTTTTTTTTGCCATGAGTTTGACTTTATTATTTTTTTTCCTTTTTGCCTTTTTTCGTGACCGGCAACGGATCACAACCCTCAGTGTCGCGCCCGTACCGGGCCGGGACCGGCAACGGGATCGCACCCCTCAGCGTTGCCCCCGCACCTCGCTCAGCCAGTGAGCGGCCGGTCTGTATGTGGGATCCGAACCCTCGGCGGGAGTGCCACCGCGCTCCCAAGCGGCGCACTGTAGCAGTGCGCCACCGGGCCGGCCCATGAGTTTGACTTTATGAGGAGACTGTATGGTTGCTCTGTGGAATAATACACTTTATGGATTTTTCTGATGTCTTTCTTGTGATGTTATTTAACTTGTTTCTCTATCTGTATTTTTAGTTAACTGAAAAGTATATCTAAATGTCAATTAGATAACTCAATTCTTTCTAAAGCAATAAATTAAAAGTAACTAGATTTTAAAATTCTAACAAGGCATTTCAAACATTTATTAAAGAATTATATATCCAGAAAAGTATATGAACTGTTGATTTTTTTTCTTTTTTACAAATTAAACACACTTGTGTAGCCAGTATCCAGCTCAAGAAACAAAACATTATCACTGTCACAGGAGCTCCTCTCGTGCTTTTCCAGTCATTATCCCCTCTCCCTAAAGCCAGCCACTATCACTGGCATAATATTTTTTGAAACTTGACAAACTAGAAATGACTGATCTGATAGTGTAAATGGATTATTTAATAAATGGGAGTGGGACAACTACCCGTTTGGGGGAGAAGCTGACTTCGTTTCTCTCTCCTGTACCAAATGAAGTCCAGGTGGAACAAAATGTAAAATGCCAATGAAATTGGACACATGACCATACTTCTAATTAGATCTATGGAGATAATTACACCAAGTGTAAAAAATGATGTATAGTCTAGTAAAGTCAGAATAATTTCAGAGAACACTATGATCAACCAATTAGTCTGTCAGGTAGGTAAATATTGTTCCTCTATATATATTACCAGCATTTTTATGCCTCAGTTTAAAAAAAAAATGGGGGAACAACTTTTTATTTACCTACAGAGCGACTGAAGGAGCCAGCTTTAGGGAATCTTGATAAGCTTATAAGATTTATATCTTTTATTTACTGTCCTATTTTTTCTATTTAGACGAATTATGTGTTGAAGCACTTTGTCGAATGGAACAAGCCAATTGCTCTTTTCAGGTTTTTGACAAACATCCTGGGATCTATTTGTTTTTGGTCCATCCCAATGAAATGGTGAGTATGAGTGTTAGGCAGTGGAAGGACATGCACCGGTTTTGTACTTATAAGTAGGTATAGTAGAGGCTTTTGTTGTGTATTCTGTTTAAAATGTTTGCTGAAATTTTTCTTTTTTATTTTAAAATTGCTACAGTTAAGTAGAGGGTACCATGGGGTCAAAGAAGAGAGGTTCCAAGAGGATGGGGAATACTTCCTGACAGGTGATGCTGACAAATAAAGGAATAATTTGATTTTCTTTCATTCTGTTGAACTGAACTAATGAAGAAAGACTTTTGTTTTTCTCACTTGCCTACTCCAGTCCAAATACATGGAAATACCCGTTAAAATATTTGAAAAATTATTTTGCTAATAGAGGAGATTTAAAAAGGGGGGTGGGGAGGACTGGGAAATTCCTAGGGGCTAGAAATGAAGAGGGACATAAAAGTCAGAACAGTGGGCAGGAACAGAAGCAGAGAGCAACACTGGAGCATTGACATAGAGCCTATGTCACCATATGGCGAGGCAGTTTGTGCTGCAGGTCTCATGCACATTGGCATCTAGACCTGAGTTACTACATTAAGCCAGTAGCCATGAAGGACTGCTCTGCCCCTATAAGGCAAAAAAAGAAGCATTTTTTAAAAAGTGGCAAAGAAAGAGCATGATAATTGGGTTTCCAGTCAAGATGGTGAATTTCAGTTTCCTCTGTGCCAAACACATAATAATGATAGAAAAAATCCAAAAAGAGGAAATGAAAAAGGTATAGTCACACCCCTCAAAAGTTAACTGTTTCTGTAGACCAGCAATGGAACAGAAACACAAAGTAATGGTGGAAACCTGTAGTCCTAGATGGCTATAGATAGTTGGGGATTCAGCTTGTGCAGGATAACAAGAATTAGAAGTGTTCTTCAGGCAAAGCAAAGAACCAGAGCCAAGCTCTGTGCTTAAAACAAGGGTGGGGCTCCCCTGCCTGTGAAAGAAGGTTGGCAAAGTGCAAAAAGGTTGACTGGTGTTTTTAAAGTTGCATACCTGTAGAGGAAGCAGGTCTAGTCTTATAATCAGGACCTGGGTCAAGCATTTGCAGGCTTGGTGATGGAGTCTACAGTATCCCTTATGAGACCAGGGATTGAGTTCCGAGCTGCCAATATTAGACCTAGTTCTAGAGTAGGCCTCTGAGGGCTGGATAGAAGCAATCCCAGATTTATAGTTAGGAAGGGTATGGAAGGAGGGAGAGTAGTAGAAGGACACAAAATCCCTCTCTGTAGGAAGGGCTTGCAAATCAAATCCCTGAAAAACACGTGAAGAAAATGATTGCTAAGACAAACAAGACTAGAACTGTTGCTTCCCACCCTCCCCCAAGATCAACTCTGGAGGGACTTGAGAGAGAAAATGTGGAAAATGGAGAAACTCTGAGTTAACAAGTGCTGTTTTGAATGGTGAATGTGGGAGATGTGCAGGAGGCATCCTGTTTTCTGGCTGTGGGAGAATAAAATAGGAAAGGAACTATTAAGGTTCTGCTTTTAGTTCTCCCTCGCCATTGCCTTGGATAATGCCTGCATCCATATCTGTGGCAACTCAAAGATCTGATCCAGGTGAAGGCAGGAATAAAATCAGGGCAGTGCTGAACCCCAGCATTTGTGAGATGCTGAGACAAGCAGGTGGCAATCAGTTACACTGATAGTTACTTCAGCATCATCCCTTCTCAACTCCCAGTACTGGGGAGTGACAGCCTATTAGTGTCTTTTCATGCTGCTGCTTCTTGGGAGTAAAGGGTGACTACTTGACTTGGTAAAATAAATTGTGTAGCAATGAGTAAAATTCTTGTGGTTTGGGTTTTATCCACCACTCTCACCCCTGAATTCACTGGGAATAAGCCAGGTTGGGGTCTGGCCTTCTATAGGCACTGCCTGTTGGGAGCCGGTACCCTAGACTGAAAATGAATTTATTAGCTAAAAATAACAGGCGTTTGAGAAACCTAAAGATTTCAGTAGAAGCAGACATATTAGAGTACTTGGCCAGTAATTTAACGTTATTATAATAAACATGCTAAAAGAAATAAGGGAAGATACTAACATGAAATGAGAACTAGGAAACAAGAACCAAACAGAATTGTAAGATGTGAAAAATCTGACGTTTAAAATACAGGCTTCAGGAGATGGGATAAATAACATAATGGGTACAGCTGAGAAAACAAATTATTGGGTTAGAAAACTAGATTGAGGGAATCTCTAAGAAGGAAGGAAAAAAATAGAAATAGGAAATACGAGGGTACTTCAAAAAGTTCGTGGACAAATAGAATTAAAAGATAATGCAAATCTTTCCACGAAGTACCTTCATATAAAAAGAAAAGTTAAGAGATGGTTGATAAAAGTAGTGTTAACAGATATAGGAAGTCTCAGAAAGAGAAAAATAAAAAGATGAGTAAGGGATATAAATTTCCTTGGGGAGGGGGAGAAAAAGTAGACTGCTGCTTGTAAGGGCCTATGTAAAGTGTCTGAGAAGCAAGAAGGAACACCTAGATAGAATAGTGAAATTTAAGAACATTAAAGGCATACTCAAAAAGGTTCTCCAAAGAGAAGATCACATGTGAAGACACAAGAAGCAAATTGACACCATATTTGTAGCAGTTGCATTGGATGCAAGGAGACAGTAGAGTAGTATTTTTACAGAATATTGAAGGAAAAGAGCTTAAAAGCCTAAAGTTAATGTCTCCAGCCAAACTCATTCAGATATGATGGCATAATAAAAATAACTTATTCATATAAGGTCTTAGAAGACCTGAACAGACATGTTCCACAAGAGGCCATAAGCATGCGAAAGAATGTTTTTTAATGATCAGGGACTTGATATAAGACCACAGAGAAATACCATTTTAAACTTGTGTGATTGAGAATACAAGTACTGGAGAGGGTGTGGATTGCAAGATCTCTTATTATTGTTGATAAAAGGTCTTGCATTTAGTTGTCATGTCACTTTAATCTGGAAGTTATTTGTCTTTTACGACAACTACTTTTTTGAAGAATACAGTCATTTCTCCTCCTGCCTCTTTTTTTTTTTTCCCCTTTTTGTCTTTTTTCGTGACCGGCAACGGATCGCAACTCTCGGTGTTGCGCCCGCACCTCGCTCAGCCCGTGAGCAGCCGGTCTGTATGTGGGATCCGAACCCTCGGCGGGAGCGCTGCCACGCTCCCAAGCAGCGCACTGTAGCAGTGTGCCACCGGGCCG